ATCCACGCGTGGTTCCTGTGGCTGTTCCTGGAGTGTTTGGGATCCATGCACACTCCCCGCGGATGCTCCGGGGGTGTCTGTGCTCCCCAAGGGTGTTCCAGGGGTTTCCGCGATCCACGCGTGATCCCCGTGGGTGTATCATGAGTGTCTGTGATCCACACGTGCTCTCCGTGGGTGTTTTAGGGGTGCCCTGGATCCATGCGCGCTCCCCGTGGGTGTTACAGGGATGCCCGGGATCCACGTGTGCTCCCCCGTGGGTGCTGCATGGTTGCCGGTGCTCCACACGTACTCCCGTGGGTGTTGCGTGGGTGCCTGTGCTCCATCTGTGCTCCCGTGGGTGCTGCTGGTGCCGGATGGTGCCAGTGCCTGGGATTCCTCCGGGAGCAGCCCGGAGAGCTCAGGCCTGGGCTTGCCTCTGAGTTTTAGCAAAACTTCACCATTTCAGCAAATATCACTGGAGAAATTAATTTTTTATCTCCTGTGCAAAGCCCAGAACTGTCATCGGCTTCTGCTCCCGCTGCTCCTGCACCGGCTCTCCCAGCCCGACTGGATTTGGTGGCAGGTCTGGGCTGCACCATCCCAAAAACCTGCCGGAGCTGCGGGCAGCCACAGCTGGACCCTGTACTTATCCCATTAGGGCGCGCGGCAGCCTCCCATTGAGGTTTCCTGGGGCGGTTTGCCTGCCTGGCCGCGCCGGGATGTGAGGTCCGTGGTGGGATGTGAGGTTCGTGGTGGGATGTGAGGTCCTGTGTCGGGATGTGAGGTCCCGTGCCGGGATGTGAGGTCCACACTGGGATGGAGACGCTCTGGCCCTTTGTTGAGGCATCACTGGAGAGCACATTCAGCGGCCTCGGTGCACACGTCCTGCCCCCACGCCAGCTCAAGCTGTCCTTCCGGAGCTGTTCCTGCCTCGCTGGTGCTGGATCCAGGCTGTGACCTCTGCTGGAGCTGTTGGGGTGCAGCCGAGTCCCCCCACCCCAGCAGCAGGGACAGTCTTGGAGGCTTGCAGATGACGTCATAGGATGACCTCATGCAGATGACGTCACCCAAATAACATGTAGATGTCTTCCCCCTGGTGTGCTGGCAGAGGTGCCATGTGCCTGGCTGTGCCGGCTGTAGTGCCAAATTGGAACTACGTGCCAGTGGCTGGGCAGTGGGTTGCGGTCCTCACTGGGGGCCTCACTGGGGTCTTTGTTGGGGACCTGGCTGGGGTCATTACCAGGGACCCAGCTGGGGACATTGACCTCACCAGGGTCCATGCCTGGAACCTCGTCACTCAGAGTGCCATCCCCCAAAACCAGGGACTGTGCCTCTGCCCCCACTTCCCTCCAGCTACCAACTGCGGCCCCTCAGTCCCCCAGTCCCCCTGATCCCTCCTGTCTCCCGCAGGTTCCCGCAGGCACAGACGCTTGCCAACGGTGACAGCCATGCCCTTAGGGAAGCGCCCACCAATGAGCCAATAGCGGGCCCCTGCAACCGCCTGGCCCGGCTCCCCCGCCGGCTGCCGGGCGGAGCTCACTGCTGGCCCTGCTGGCCCCCGAGTCCTCCCCGTCCCCCGCCAGCCGGGACGCCCTCGTCCCGGGGGCCCCACCGGCGTTGCTGGAGGGGACTGGGAAAGGGCGGGAAGAGCTGCGGCTTGCGGGAGCTGGAGGTAGGGCGCGGGCGAGGGAGGCCCAGATGGGAGAAGACGATGCGCTGGTTGGTCGGACCTGCAGGCAACTGGCGCGAGAAGAGTGGAGCAAGGTGAGAAGCCCGAGCGCAACCGGGCGCGCCGGGAGGTGCGGCAGCTGCGGCATCGCCTGGAAGGCCCTCACCAAGGAGCTGGCCAGCCTGCGCCCGCGACCGGGACCGTCGACCAGCGACGCGCCGGAGGAGCGCCGGCCACCGGCACGGCCCGCAGCCGCAGCCCCGGCAATCCTCCCGCCACGCACCCGACGGGGCGGAGGGGGACACCGGCCCTGAGCACGAGCCTGTGCGGGACGTGGGGGCTGAGGTGCCCCAAAAAGGCAAGGTGAGGGTGGCAGGCTGCCCAGGGCCGACAGGGGAGCTCCTCATCCCCATCACCCACCCATGTGCACCCTCAAACCACCACTGCCTGCCCTGCAAAGGTGGGCAGTGTGGGGGGGACTACTCTTGGATTAGCGTGGGGAGTGTCAGACCCCTCAGAGCAGCACAGGGAGGGCAGTGGAGGGAGGGATGCTCTTGGTTATGGGGTGAGGGCTGGGTGCTGTAGGTGCTGGGAAGCCAGGGCTGCCCCCTCACCCTGTTCCCTGTGTTGGGCCACCCACGGCGCCACAGGAGCTGGAGCTGATGGAAAACATCTTGACGAGCAAGCAGGATGAGAGCTGGGAGCAGCGGGGCCCCCGGGCCTCCTTCAGCCGCCAGGAACGGAGCCGCCTGCTCTGGGAGGATGTCAGCGTCATGGAGGAGGATGCCACCAAAGTCACCGCCCTGAAGCTGAGGCTGGATGAGTCCCAAAAAGTTCTGCTCAAGGAGCGGGAGTGAGTGCTTGGGGCATCATCCTTGCATGCTGCCAGCCAATCCCAGCCTGGTCCCCGCTGGGATGGGATGTCCCATGGGGTCCTGCTGGCTGTCACAAGCATCGCCTCTCCCCAGGGACAAGCTGGCGCTCAGCAAGAACATCGAGAAGCTGGAGGGCGAGCTCAGCCAGTGGAAGATCAAGTATGAGGAGCTCAACAAGAACAAGCAGGAGGTGATGAAGCAGGTGAGCAAGGTACCTGGGGAGCAGGGGTGCCCGGGGGGTAACCTGTCCCCAGGGAGGTGGCACGTCCTCATGGTTGCACATGGTGGCCCACAGCCACCTCCCCAACTGCAGGGTGCTCATTAAGGGTCTTCATTAGTGCTACTGAGCCAGTGGATCCATCTGCAGAGATTGGGTGGGTGGG